ACTCACACACTCTCCCACCCACAAACTTATTCGCACTCACACACTCGCCCACCCACTCACCCACCAACCCACCCGCACACTCGCTCACACACTCTGCTCACTCACCCACTCGCACACTCTGCTCACTCACCCACTCGCACACACTCACAGATAACAATAACATCTCAACACGGTCGGTACGAGCAACACCGCGTGGCCTTGTAGACAAAACAATGGCACCGCCATGGGGTGAGCTCTTTCTTGTTTTCAACAACAAACCTTCGCAAAATGCACTGCGCCAGCAACACTTTTAATACAAAGTCGTGTGCTTCGAAGTCATACTTTTGATTATTAAAGGAGGTTGCCCGTTACGCAACAGCTACCATTACTGGTTACCAGCCAAATTCCGAATGGATTTTAAGATAATGCTATTAACCTATAAGGCTTTAAAAGGGCTCACCCCACATTACTTGCAGGAACTAATACATTTATATATTCTATCAAGGTCCTTAAGATCTCCTGATCTCCAACTGCACAGCACTCTCAGGTCTCTAGAGTTGCGCTCTTTTGGTGATGGGGCTTTCGTTAGCGTGGCACCCAAGCTATGGAACGCCTTGCCACTTAAAATCAGCAATCGGAGACTGTTGATATATTTAAGTCCGCTTTGAAAACCCATCTCTTTAAAGTGGCCTTCCCTCTTTTGATTGGTCGTTTTCCCTGGTTCTGTTTTTGTTTCCTGCTATTCATGCGTTGCGCATTGGTAATTATTCTCATTATTAGTGTAACTTAATCATGTCATATTACAACGACTAAAATAGGCATCAGAAATTATAATATTTTTATCATTTTAATTCTCAGCAGGTCCCTTGGTTTGTGTTATACAAGTACGGTATTATCCACTCCGTCTCTCTCGTCTGGCCTTTGATTACACTGTTTAACAATTTTTTTTGTCCCTGGGTAGTAAGTGTGATTTCCTAAATGCTTATGCTCAAAAATACAGAAATGGCTATTATTCCCCAAAACTTTGCTTTTGTGAAATTTACCTATTTTCCAGAACATTCCAGATAGATTCAGTGCTGGGTAAACTTGGAATAACTTCTAGAACATTCTAGAACTTTCCAGTAATATAAATAGTAGTATAAATACAGGGGCCTTAAGCCCACCAGTTCAGTTTAGTTCCAACTGCTTAAGTGGATACACATCTACATTTTTCTGAGATGGCATGAAGAGGCTGCGAGCATCCGGCAGACGCATTTTGCTATGTCTGTAGCCAATTTATCAAGAAAAGAGCGAAAAAGTACTCTGTGGAAGCATCTGCTAAGATGTGTGAGGCCTAGAAGGCATATTTCGGCATTCCTGTCAGGGATCAAGACAAACCCTGGGCACCTCATTTCACCTGCGAGCAATGCAAAAAACTCTGGAAGGTAAGATGGACAATTGTTGCTCGGTATTTTTTTACTCTAAGTGCAATCAGGTACAGAGTGGAGCCTTTACCCCATGTGAGCGGGGCTTGTTATTGAGTGGGTGTGGCTGTGTAAAAGTATGCGAGGCTGAAAGAGGGAGGGTCCTCCAGCTGGCCACGTGTCCGAGTTGAGCCTCCTAGATATGTGGTAACTTCCAGAGACGCGTAGAAAAAAGTCATATTCGGAATATTTATTTTTACTGGAGAAATTCGATAATATAATACAATTCTCACGACGTTTCGGCCACAACGCAAGCAGCCGTCCTCAGGTGAAGAACAGGTCTGTCGGAAAGACAGCTCTTTTTCACAGAGGGGTGCAAGGTATAGGAAAGGTAATACAAAAACGAGATAAAATACATTTACTTTACCAGGTAGAGCCCAATAAGATAGGAGCTTCTTTTTCAAAAGCGACCTCGCCACAAATGATAGCTCAACGAAGTTGTTTTCCACGTGGAAATGTATTCTTTCGGTAAAGTCACGTAGTTAGACATAAAAGAAAAGAAAACAAATCACGACGTTTCGATAGCAACACAAGCGGTCGTCATCAGGCATGAAAGCTTCAAATCAAGATTTAGCCAAATAATATAAACGCATGATGTTAATTCTAAATGTGGAGGGAAAAACACGGAGGACCTGGAAACATTTTAAACTAAAAACAATTTTTTTTTTATTTAAGGTTACCAGGTAAAGCCCCCTGAGCTATGTAACTCTTTTCCAGAAGCGACCTGGTCACAAATGATAACTAAATGAAGTGGCTATTTTCACGTGGAAATGTATTGCAGCAGCTAAATACTCTAAACGCACGTAGATTCTAAATGTGGAAGGAAAAACCGGATAAAAATCCACACGACCACGAGGAGAGAGACGTAAGAACTTCAAATATACAGCAGGCATCATGGTCGGGATCGAACCCACGACCTACCTGCACACCAGGCGAGGTAGTTAACATTTTGCCACTGTCCCCCCCTTCGCTCTCATTCTGTAGCTTCAAGCAATGCCTGCGGAGGTCCAACGACACGGCGTCGCTCGTCATGGGCCAGGCATACTTCAACGTCATCAGCGTGCCCTGCTTCACTCTCGAGGAGCACGAGGAGTGTGCCGAGAGGTCCTGGCTGGGATGGTAAAGGCTGTGCGATGCGACACTGCCACCGCCGCTCCTCCAACCCGCATTGTCTCCACCCATGTCAAAAATCAATTCATTATACGCACTGCTTTCACACAGTGCGTATAATGGATTAATCCGATGAGCTATGAAGCTCTTGTCCACAAATGTTTAGTAGCGACGGGTCTATGAGCAGTGGTGGGTCTACGGGCAGTGTTGAGTCTATGGGAATGTTGAGTGTATGGGCAGTGTTGAGTCTAAGGGCAGTGTTGAGTCTATGGACAGTGTTGAGTGTATGGGCAGTGTTGAGTCTATGGTCAGTGTTGAGTCTATGGTGTAGTGAATCTATGGCCTTGCTGCTCCGTATACAGGGGAAGTTGATTCCAGTGGAGGGATGCAAGGAGGGAGAAGAACCGATCACGGGATTGGGCACAGAGAGGAGGGACAGAGAGGGAAGATTGAGACCAAAGAGGACGAGAGGATGGGACATGGAAGGAGATGAGATGTGAGATGAGGTGGGTAAGGCATGGAGAGATTTTAGTTATTTTGTTGTATATACGTAAATAATTGTGTCACGTTGCATGAATATACCAACTGCAAAATAATTACATATACAATGTAATTCGCTCTCTGTCGGTCACCACCTATCTACGAGATACATCCAGAGGGGCACATCACCGCATTTTACGAGATGAAACACAACTATTGATCATTCATCCCATTCACATTCCCAACTGAGATATGGTGTCTACAGGGATAATTATTAAAATGATAGTAATCATGTACGGCCCTTTTCCAATTCACAGTAGGATGAAGCCTCCCCTCTCCATGCCGTGTGAATTGGCGAATGGGGAGATTAGGAGAGGGGGGGATCAAGGGACCAATTCTGATCTCACTTGCGGCTCATTATTGTGACAGACCCAACGCAGAAGATCCCTGGGTATTATCTTCCACGAATGTGTTCATGGTCCACCCTAAACTGGACACTGCACAGACCATGACAATAGATGCGGATACCTGATGCACAAAATATGGAATGTTAAAACTCTCCAGTGTGCGACTGTCATCATCCAGAACAGACCATACAATATGTTTTCTTTGGGTCTTTCGGTAAAGTCACGTAGATAGGTTCAAAGAAAATAACAAAAATCTACGACGTTTTGATCACAACACAAGCGATCATCACTAGGAGGAAAAAAAGAGGAAAGCTGCTGAGGCAGACTGTTTAAAAGGTGTAAAATGGGTGTAGCCCATGGGTCATAAACGAAGTGGGCGGGGCTAGTGATGTTAATGTGAGAAATTAGCATGTTAATGTAAGATCGGAGGGCGACACCACGGCAAGGCGCGGAGGTGGCCATGTTAATGTTATCTCTCTGACGCGGTTGTTATCTGGCTTGACCACCTGAATGTGAAATTATAGCTGTTGATCTGCATCCACACGAAATTAGAAGGCTTATGCTTTTCATGGTTGGGAATCGAAATCTCGTTTTCGAGTGGAACCAGCGCTCACCCTCTGGATGGTAACTGCGACAGTCTCGAAATGCAACTACATCTCGAGACTGACAACAGCCCAGACTCTGATGGGGTCGCTAGACAATATACTTAGAGACCCGTCTCTGAGCTGGTCTAGAAACAATGATAGACAGACTGGTCTCACTCATCCACTCACCTCACTCACTCGACTTACCCACCCACTGATCTACTCACACACTCACTCATCCACTCACTCACTCACTAATTTATCCACCCAGGAAGCCAATCTCTGAATCACTCAGTGACTAATTCACTCACTCACCCACTAACTCTCCCACTCACTCAGTCATCCACTCACTCACCCATCATCCACTCTCTGACCCAATCATTCACTCACTCACCCACTAACTTTCTCACTCAGTCATTCATCCACCCACTAACCCAATTGCTAACTCACTTACTCACTCACTACCCCCACTCACTCACTCACTCACCCACATCATTTATCCACCAGGAAGCCAATCTCTGACTCACTCACTACTTCACTCACTCAGCCACACACACACTCACCCATCCACTCATCAACTCACAGACGCCAGGTGCTGGCAGCGTGGTGACATTGGGCAGTCGATAGGCGATATGAGACTCGCAAATCGATCGCCAGCATCAATCCATACAAGCAAGGGACTGACGGCTTGCATTCGACTGCAGGTGCCAAACGCACGAGACGGTCTACAGAGCTATCATTCGGGATCAGGAGCCCTACCAGTACGGCGCCGTGGATCTCATCGACCTGCCCGTGACCTCACCGACACTGGCGGCACGGGGGAATAAAGGAACGGAGGCGCCGGGCACGCAGGAGAGAGGGGAGACGGCAGAGGAGGGAGCGCGGACGGGCACGGACCCTGGGGACTCCTCCCTGGGCCCGAGGGGATGGCTGGGGTCGCCGTGGCTGAGAAGCCGACGGTCAAAGCAACGACGGACGCGGCAGAGTACAGGTGAGCTCTGATCGCCTCGATTCTGTCAGTCCACGAGGTTTCACTAAGTAGTGTTAGCTGCTGATGTTGTTCAAGCATTTTAATTTGGTGGTGTGACCTCAAATGACAGCCCAATGAAGTGGATTATCACGTGGAATATATAGCAGCAGCCAAATACTTTAAACGCGTGATGTTCATTATAATGTGAATGGAAAAACTGTAGGACCAGAGAAACTTCACGCAACCACAGGGAAAGAGACGCGCAAACTCCAAATATTCAGCAGGCATCAGGATTGGGATCGAACCCATGACCTCCTGTATACCAGCAAGTTAGTAAACATCTCGTCCACCGTAGTTTAGGAGCTGCCCTACAGCCACAGAGACGCGGATATTTACCGCGTGCTGTACTGCCTCATGCAGCCAGACCTGTGGTGGACATTTTTATTATAAAGCTACAACTGTGCCAGTTTTAGTTTCAAAATGTTTTTCACGATATCCTGACCATTTGTGAAAATCCAGATTTTAAACCCCGGTTTAATATTTTCCGGGCCAAATCCTGGATTCACGATGCCTGAGTGGTGGGCGTGGGCTATCTGAGTAGTGGGCGGTGACTACCTGAGTAGTGGGTGGGGCTACCCGAGTAGTGGGTTGGGGCTTCCCGAGTAGTGGGCGTCACACCTGAGTAGTGGGCGGGACTACCTGAGTAGTGGGCGGGGCTAACTGAGTTGTGTGGAAGGCTATTTCAGAATATGAATATAATACTGTTTTTTGGGGGTTTGATAATTTGTCACGTAAACAGAATTTTCCAATTCGTTACTAGTACAGCACACCGGCGTGTTGGAGAACCAAGTCACAACATTTACAATCTGAGTATGGACGTTCGTCAGGATTACAACTAGCTTCATCAGGCGACAGCCAGATTATTGGCAGCGGGCAGACTTCCTGACCACCTCCGATTAACGCTTTTTGCTATGTACGGTGCGAACACTATACACTACACTATACACTACAGACACTACAGACATTACACGATACACTACATGACTACACACGACACAGTACACTATGCGACTGTATACTACACTACCATACCCTACACCACTATACTAAATTGAAAACTCGTTTTTTATAACTGCTTTTTGTGTGTTAGTTTGTTGTTCTTCCCCCGCAACCTCTGATTAGCATGGTTGGCTATGCACAGTGCGAAAGAAGTTCAACATACACATCTAGTGGGTACAAATGGAAGGAGGGCTTCTCTGGAGGCAACACGTTTTTTATTTAATAACGATACAGCTTAACACGAAGGGGTTACAGCCCCTTTCACCCGATATCCTAAGGAGGTATGTCCTCCTCACTAGCGTGCCCTACACACTGGGAGAGCTGTCCGCTAAGGGTCCTCTGGCTAGCGGGACCTAGGGAGGCTAACCTGACCCAGCCAAGGTCCTCGGGTCCTATCCACAGGGCTGCTCCGACCCAACCCAGCCAAGGTCCTCGGGTCTGGCCCCCGGCTCCAGGTCTTCCAGGTGGCTTCTTGAGTCTTCGAGTGGATGACAACTATCGGGCCCGTTCAGGGACCCAGCTTTTATACACATTCCCAGCTCATTTCCGCCCCTAGTCACACCTTCCTTCTGGAATCTTCCCGAGGGACCTGGCGTGTGACGTCATCCACCAGCCCCTTCTTGGGGTCTGGGGTCCGCACCATGATCCCCAGGGATTACCTTGGCCCAACGGCCCGACTTCATCGACCTCGCCGGCTCAGCCTCTATTCTGCCCCCTGTGACACGGGGCCGGTACTACCGGCTATGAGTAGTGGCCGATCGCGCTCAACAATGTCACTACACACATTGCACCGTCAGAACCTGAGTATAAAACATACAAATATGCCAGTTACAAGCGGATTTAACCAAAGACAGCCCTATAAGCAGCATTTGTGGACTTCCAGAAGCCTGGAAATTGTTTGCAATTACATCCACCTGTTCACGCTATGAACAGCAAACGATAATGATACAATAGGGGGTCCAGAGAGTGACGCCTGAATTTTAATCGAGCTCCCGGCATGGGTTACTCAGCAGAGCCAGTGAAATAGGATGTCTATTTTGTGTTTGTTATCGGGTTGTAACTAAGGGTGAATTCGACTTAAAAAAATCTAAATACCGAGATCCGCGTGAGCGGTACCTGTCACCTCCAAGCCAGCTACACAGCTGGATGCGTCGCTAGGAGACCTTCCTTGTTGGTTTTTCTCGCTCAGCGCCACGGTGGCTCGGATATCGTTAATACCTCGCCTGGTATACAATCGAGGGTAGATCCCCGACCCCCCCTGCCCCGTACTGTGACCGAAGCTGTGTACTCGGCTAATGTTGAGTCCTCACATCTGACACAGTTGACATCTACCCTTTGCTTGTGGTGTTAAGAGTGGCAAACACCAATTAGGTACCTTTGCAAGGCATATATTATCCGAGCATGTTTGAGGTTTCTACAAATACGTGCGGCTAATTCAGACTTGATTCCTTGCCAAATGTTATCTATTTGGTGTTTGGATATCTTAACATGATATCTCAATACCATATACTGCGGCAATCCACCTCACAACCATCTCTCTCTACAACCCACGATAGGAGATGTTATCTACCTCGCCTGGTATAGAGAGGTTCGTGGGTCGATCCATACCCTGACGGTGCCTGCTGTATATTGGAGTTTTGTGCATCTCTCGCCCGTGGTCGCTGGATTGTTCCGGATCCTCGATTTCTCCTTCCACATTTATAATTAACATGCGTTTTAGATTATTTGGCTGCTATAAATGTCCACACAGACTAAGCGTCCCTTCGTCGAGCTATAATTTGTGATAGCAGGTCTCTTCTGAAAAAGAGCTACATCACTGAGTGGCCTTACCTGTAAAAAAATATGTCTATTTTAGAGTTTTTATAGTATAAAAAAGTCATCACAATTTCCACTTGGAACGCCACGCTTGGTGGTGTAGTGTCGTGGTAGAATCACTCAGTCGGACACGCTGTTCAAGTTACCTGCTTACACTTTATTACTCTACTCTGCACAGTTGTAGGCACTCATATCTCTGTCTATATGGTCACTTGTTAACCAACTTCCCCTATCTACTTTACACCTCGCTGACCTGCCTGCCGCAGCTTTCTCTCAGCGCTCTGCACTCACACTCCGCACACAGACCGCAGCTCACACAGGGCTTGCACACAGTAGCGCTCACACAGAGGCTTCGCTCAACACAGCTGTAGACAGCTGCTCTCCCTCTGCACCGCTGCCTCGCCTACATTCCCTCAGACCCACCTCACTCGTCCGATCAGTGCTGGGGGGATCAACCATCACCCGCCCAGCGACTCGCGAGGGTTAGAGGTCCATCCCTGGCTTGAGCGGCAGCGGTGAGATGTCTTCACCTTGGTCGCAGGAACCCAAACTCTCGCTCCGTCGCTTCGCTCTCACGCACCCCTTTTATCTTCCTCCCAATTATCCAGCTCCTCCCTCGTGTCTCTTTAGGGCCAGACAGGCTGGCGACACCCCCAGGTGCCAGCGTACATTTCCGGGCCGACCCCGTCTGCAACAGATTCTCCTTTTAATGAGGTGGAGGTTTGCTCGTGCAACCTTACGTTGCACACGCGCACCTGCCTGCCCCTCAGTTCCCTCGGCCAGCAGTGCGCACCGTGCATTTTACCACACTACATGAGTATAAACTGCAGCAAACAGCAACATCTGCCCATTTCTTGATATTTTGAACGTCAAAGCCAGCGGCAATTGAGCTACTATCTTGATTTGAAGCTTTAGTGACTGCAGGAATCCATACTCTTTGTTTGTTTCGATAACGTCACGTAGGTATAAAATAAAATAAATCACGACGTTTCGGGCGCACACAAGCATCCCACCTGATGACGGACCGCTGTGTTCGCCCGCAACGTCGTGCTTCATTTTATTTTATACCTACGTGACTTTACCGAAAAAACCAAAGAGTTATTGAGCTTCTCTTTGAGGTTAATCTAAATAATCTAAATAAAGATTCTTTCTCTGATAATTTGGCGACTTCCTGCTGAGTGGGTTTTTTTGCACACGGTACTCATCGCAGGCATGGACACCAAATGGCAAGCACAAACAGCACCATCGCATATTCTAGAATCGGAGTGGCGTAACACGTGAGTTGAAATATTCAGTTTGTTCACGACAGATTGGGGAGGGAATTCCCAAATGAAAAGTTCAAGAGAAGAAGCAGCTAGAGGAGTGTTGTGATCTGCAGCGTGGTGATTTGGCTGAGTGGGTGGATGAGTGGTGTAGATTAGGTGAGTGGGTGGGTGGAGTCGGTGATAGGTGCGTGGGTGGGTGAGTGAGTTGTTGGGTGAGTAGGGTGGGTGGGTGAGTTGGTGAGTGTGTGGGTGAGTGAGTTTGGGGTGAGTGGGTGGGTTGTTAGGTGAGTGGGTAGGTGAGTGTGTGAGTTGGTAAGTGGGTGGGTGTGTGTCTGAGCGGGTGTAGGGGTTAGCGCACCTGCGCTATGAATCCGGCGGCCCGAGTTTGATTCCCGCTCACGGCCAAAAACCAGTGACGATTATTTGAACCGGTTTCTGGACCTCCCCTAGGTCGACTCAGCCTCAAAATGAGTACCTAGTGCATGTGTAAACATCGCCACTAGGGAGACAAAGGCGGTACGGGCGTGGTGCTGGCCACCCATCTCTCAGTGCCATGCCGGCCTTCATAGGTGCTCGCTACCAGCACTTGCCCCAGCAGGTCTGTTTAAGGCTTTACTGGAGACCGTTTGTCTTGTGTGTCTGAGGATGTGAGTGTGTTACTGGATGGGTGAAGGCGTGAATGAGTGCTCGTAACAGCACTTTGCCCAAAGTCTGTTAACCTTATACGGTAGACAGTTGTCTTTGCAGGTGAGTGAGTATCTGAGTGAGCAATGAGTGATTGTGTGTGTGTTTTTTGTGTAAGTACTTTGGTTGTAACCTGCAGTGTTGGTGGTGACTGAACAAAATATTAAACACAGTTAGTATTTTGGGACAAAGAGTCCCCATCACGGGAGGAGGAATCGATGAGTGGCATTCAAGAGATCAGTAACCGCGTTATTACCAAGACGAAGAGTAACAGGGAGGCTACTGTCTGCTCGCGAGCGAGCGACCGGGTTTAGTGCGATTCGGGGTTCTCAATCACTCTGACCGCTTTCAAATGTGGGCTGGGGGCTGTTGAGATACGGAGGTACTGCCTGCCAAAGGTCAACCACGCGGAAATGTGACCGCTTGAATGTTGATCTCCTAACTGCGACAGACAAGGACACCTCGACGAAGCAAGGACAGCCAAGGACGGCTGCAGGCAAGGGAGGCAGAGGCCGTGGAAAGAATCGGGGCAAGAAGAGACGAGGACGCAAGAGGAAGGGAAACCCCAACTCGGCGCCGAGTGGGAAGGCAGCTTTGCCAACGATGCAGCAACCTGCGATCTTGGACCTCCGAGGTCTGTATACCCAGATAGGGAGCGGCTGAGAGAGGACACAATCGCGTTTGTCTCACCCGACGGTGGAGATTTAGGGCTGTTTATTAAAAAACCGGTAGCGAAGCAACAACGTTGTGTTCGCTGCGTTGAGGCAGTGATGCACGATCAATAAAAAGATAAAACAAAACCAAGGCAATTCCTGCTCATGCGCTAGTGTGATCCTGTCCGTCTAAACACACGCTTCACGTTTGTGGAAAGGTTTTAAGGAGAGGTACGTTTCAGGCTTGATTAAATGTAGACGTAAAGGGCGTTGATTCGATCCTGACCCTGACGCCTGTATATTTGGAGTTTGCATGTATCTCTCCCTGTGGTTGTGTAGATTTTTTTCCTGGTCTTCCGGGGGTTTCCCCTCCACATTTAGAAGCATGCGTTTAGCGTATTTGGCTGATGTAAATTTCCAATGATAAACCACTTCGTTAAGCTATCATTTGTGGCCAGGTCGCATCTGAAAAGGACCTACGTGGGCCGTAGCTGGTAAAATAAAATATATAGTTGAGTTTAGAGTTTAACTTGGTTTGTGAATGCCTCAATCGGCTGTTTGTTTTTAACGTCCTGACTGCCCGTTTGTGTTAAAGGCTTCTGATTGGTGTAGGGAGGCCTAAAAAATATTGGTTTATGGTCAGAGAATTAAAATTGATTGGAGGAGAAATTCCCAACGTAAAGGCTGGGAAACGATGATTGACTGCCGGGGTAATGGTTTGCCAACCGTTAGATAAGAAGGACGAGGAGATTGGCTGAGGGAAATTGGGCGAGCGAATCTTCGAGAAAGGGGGCTGGAGGAAATATAAAAAGGAGATGGCTCAAGGGGAAGGGATGGTTGGAGAGAAGACGAAGTTCAGGCCTAAAGAAAAAGTGTTCGTGTCTCCAATAAAGGCTCTTAGTAAAGCAAGAATGCATGTCGGTCGTTGTTACATATTTATAATTAAAAGTGCAATTAATTTTGCTTTACTTTGCTTCATTCACAAATTTGTACCATGCGAATTGTTAAATTGGTTAAACAACGTCGTGCACTTACGATTGTGTGTGTGAATATGAGAATACATGCCCTGCCTTGTAGGGGAGAAAGTGGAGGGGCTGCCTCCACTGTGTGAATGTATTTTCTCTCCATAATAGTTTTTTTTAGGTTAGAGCATGTAAATATAAATGTGTCCATTAAACCTGCCACCATCACCTGACAGTCAATTAGGAAAGTTCTCACGTAACAAACATGCCAAATTCTTTACTAGTTCAGCACTCACCGATTGTGTAAACCCACAACATTTACAGTCGGCATCATCAGGCGACAGCCAGAGTTGTCTCGCATTTTAAAATGTATTACTCTGCAATACACAACCGGTATGCTGTACTAGTAACGAATTGGCATGTTTTGTTTACGTGAGAAACCCTTACTAATTGGCTTTGTCCACGGTTGGCGGGTTTAACGACACATTTATGTTTACACAATCTAACCCAAAAAACCTCTTATAGATGATATTGGCCGCGAAAGCCTCCTACGTTTTAAACCGTTTCTTCTCTCCCTTCTCGTTCATACAGAAAGCAGACTTATGGATACGTCTACAAATGCACCGAGAGCGGACACTGGCTCAGCCCCGGGCTCTCGCCCCATTGCAAACCCTCAGACTTTTCTTGGCTAGAAGGCGTCAACATTTTGCTGATTTTGCTCAAACATCTGGGTACCCATCCACGGGCGCAGGAACATTGCCAGCTGTAATCCCCCCGAAGAGAGCAATTCGGGAAATGGTAAAATGAGCCTTGGCTATTCCCTGCCCCCTTCAACCTTAAACAGCCTCCAACGACCACCTCCAACCCCAATAACAACCAAACGTCTGTCGTGGTCTCCCAATTGCACTTGCCAGCTGGCCGTCAGCAGGTCGCCAAGTGCCCGTATGGGCTCTCGCTAATGGCGCGACTGCTAGCCCGCGGAAAACCCAAGGAGGCCACCAGCACGCCCACACATAAATGGCGGCGGCATCGCTGGAGTTTTGGTTTTTCAAAACGGTGGTGTCGATCACATCAGCAGCCGATGACGACGACGATGGTGCCAGGGCAACAGATCCCATTCTTCACAAAAGCATCAGCAGTGGCGGGTGGCAGATGGGCGATCGTTTTAACCATGCTGGCAAGGACGCGTTGAAGGCCACTGCCTTTGCAGGCACTGGTTTGAGAGCAATGATTTGCACCAACGTCGTCTGCTCTCCAGCCTTTGGGGTAGAATAACGGTGCAACCCGCTCGTGAACGGTGACAATGTCGCCCACCGGTGGCACAGTTCTTCTCAAGGCAAAGCGCAAAAAGGGCAGAAAGAGAAAAGCAAAAGGCGACATTGCTCGCGACACAGTCGCTCGATAATTCACCAGCAGAGAAGCCCTCTCGTTTTTCTAGGCTTTTGGCTTACTTAGCGACTGGCGGTATAACTACCAGTCATAGTTAGAATAGAATGCAGGGTCTGCCTGTGGACTTATAAGTAAGAATATTAGAGGTCTATCTTTTGTCTGTTTGTTTATAGACTCTTTGCACATATAACCATGGGCTGGAGCATTTAGAAAGAAATGGGTGAATAGGACAGGCAGAGGGCATGTAACCCATTTTAGGCCCTGAATCAGTTGGTTAATCGTCTCCAAGTAGCCACATCTTTATTTCATAGGGAAATCACAACAAACTTGTCGTTTGGTCATATTTTTTCTCATGGAAATTGATATACTGTGCTTTAATCACATTCCGAATTGGTGGCTCGATGACAGATCTGGGTAAAAATATGACCTCATTTCCCAACTCTGTCCTGAAATCACAAGGAAAGCTATACCAGAAGAATTCACGTTGGGTTCATAGTCAACTTAGAGCAATCTGTTTGGTTCCAGGCTCACCACAACACCACCTCAGTTTGATCCCAACTTAACGCTGATAAATGTCATCTTGTACATTTTCAGTCGCAAGATAAGCCGTCAGTGTACTTATGGCTCAGGTGTTGCCTGGTTTAACCGATAAGTACAGCTGAGTATGGTCAAGCATAGCAATGAAAATTTTCCTTACTGGATGTGAACAACATCGCCCAAGAGTAGCAGCATCTACAATGTAACTTAACACAACTCTATGCACCATTGTATGGCAACAATCTTTTGTCCTTACTCTATTTTAACAGATTGCGTATTTTTATACTTTTAGGGATATAATTTCTGTCCTCCAGTGTTGAGCCTGAAATAAGTGGTGTGAAGATGTCATCAATGTGCAGCTACAAAGCAGCAGGAAGTGGTAGGGAGTAATACCTGGAGTTGAACGGATTGCCATAAATATTCATGTTATTAGATTATCATAAATTATGTTCGCTAAATGTCCGACAAAATCATTGTTAATAGTGTGTGGATCACTCTTCATTGGTCATGTCGGGTGGAGCGAGGTGTACGACACACATCTTACACGCGATCCGATCTTATTGGTCGCAAAAACCGATACGTTAGAATGGTCAACAACATTGAAAACGACCCTTGGCTCTTGAGAATGAATGGCCAATAGTTTTGAAGGCTACTCCCGTAACAAAAAGCTAAGCCCATACCATAAGGAATCTGCACATCATTCACTACTCTAGTGAACAACAAATACATGGGCAGCCAATACGCCTTCTTCCCATTATTTGTCCCCATGTATTTTTTTTCCACATCGCATCAGCCACACGGACGTCTGAAAATGAATATTGTCAGCAGCATTGGGTACAATACAAGCACATCTCTGTAACGATGTGCTCCCGGAAGCGTACCGTGGTGTTTGAACATCTTATGAGGACGACAGAGCTTGGATAATTGTTGGCAACTGCTTACCACGTGGCAGCGTCCCTGCTTCTCTGTAGTTCCTTATTCTTGAATCGTTTTCTGTCTCCGAGAGTAAATAGATAATTTGCGGCGCGGTATGAGTTGAAGTTGTTGCTATTATCAACGCAAAGGCAAAGAATCAGATGTTTAACATGTGTAATAAAGGTCGTTGAGACAACTTCTGAATTTCAGTATTCTTTATTAAGTTCTGTCACAGCTCTCCCTATACTCGTTCCTCTTGCTCTATGGCTCCTTCATGCTGTTGGCAGACAGCGTGAGAGGGAGAGAGAGGGAGAAGGAGAGCCTGCTTCTGGCCCGCCAAGTGGCAGGCTCAGGACCACGGCACCAGCGTGGCTTCGCCTTCATTCCTCCCAGCTCTGACCACGTGCTGTCCGTCTCCACCCCTTTTAATCCCTGGCCCACGTGGTGCCTCGCAGCCAATCCTCGGTCACCTCCCTGGAACCTTCCAGAGCCCATCCAGCCCCCAGGGCCACGCCCCTAACTCGCCTCCCCATTGATTGCGGCTGAAGCCAGCAGAGCCAATCATCCTCTTCCATGGAACCTTTACATTACATCAGGGCCGCGCCCCTGGCTCGACTCCCCATTGGTTGTGGGCTGAGGCCGGCAGAGTCAATCATTATCATCCAGGTGTAACCAATTAATCATCCAGGTGTAACCCATTTATCATCCAGGTGTAACCTCACATTACACATGTATGCTTAAAATAGTCGCAAATAAAATGTCAGACCTAACTTTGGTTGTGAAGATTTTTCGTGAACTTTGCAGGTGAGCAGACACCATAACCATTGGCGCCGTTCAATGCTTGTGCACCTCGACAATTGAAGTTGGTGGAGGGTTTTTCACAACACTGATTGAAATCTATTGGGGACCTTTTTTGCCAGTATCCAAAATGATGAAAAACAAGAATCGGTTTTAATCGTTCTGACGATAACGCTATAAGTGTTTTGATGCGTGCATTGTCTTAATACTCTTCGCCATTTCGCATTCTCTGGTCTAACACTGGTGCAGAGACAAGTTCATAAAGAAGTCTGTCTCTGGTGTAGGCCAATCAGTATCAAAGGCAATGCATGTAACATTATTATCAGAGCATGTTTGTTTTCATGTTCATACAAGTACTGTGTGTGGTTAATGCAGACTTGATGCCTTGCAAAGGTTATCTCTTTGGTGCTGAAACATCTTAGCACAACTTTTTATTGTCAGAAAGGGTAAAGCATATTCTTATTTTTCATCAACAGATTGTGTGAGCTCATTAACGTGGCCTAACCCAGGAACCAAACACGAATCGTACAGTTACTTCTCATAGCGGTGTTCGCCGGGGAATTTGCTCATGCCAGAATAATGGTGCATTTGATTTGTAGTATCTGTTTTCTTAGTCTTTGATACCGGGGGAGTTCTGTAAGATCTGGTGGTTTCAAAGTAAAATGTTCGACTTTCTTTGATGCTTTTGAAGTGGAGAAGCACGTGCAGGGCGCAGCAGCAGGCCACGTCTTTGATTGGATAACCAAGCATGAGGCTTACTTCGATTATCGACGATTGCAACTCACTCTCGACGAGGAATCTGGCAAAAAGCATTAGCAAGCTGCAGCACGTACAAAATTAATTGGCCTGGTATCGTGACCGGGTACTGCAAGATCCGACCATGTCCGTCTGGTGCTCTACACACCGTACGTAGCCAACCGTGCTAATCGGAGGTATGCGGGGAGAACAACAAACTAAACACAAACATATTTCTAAAGGAATGTGTTAGTCAATCTAGATGATTTAAAAGTGCATAGCTCAAGTGGCTTCCTAAGCTCGGAAGGAACAGCGTTCCAGACGGTTGCAGAAGCGCATTTGAAAGCGCGCGATGCGGTGACCATCTTTGTTCGATGGTGAGCCAAAGCGGTTGCTGAGGATG